TATGAAGTTATTTAAATTATTTATGTAAATTTACTCATTGGATAATATATTTAATATATTTTACTTTTAGAATTTTTAAACATAAAAATTAACTCATGATCATACGATTGTCTCTGATTGATCAATTATCACATGCATACATTTATAAAGGACGTTCTAAAATATCCGGGACTCAGGATTTCTTGCACATGCAGAAATTAGAGAGTGTGCACTTAACTCTAAATCCCAAGCTTGGGATCAAGCTATAGTGTGCATATAGAAAGGGTGTACATTTATAGAAGGTGCACTTATAGAGGTGTTACTGTATATCAAAAGGCTTATGGATCAATTTGAATACACATTTCGTACTAAGGTTATTGGAATATACCTATTATTTGCATTATATAAAATTTAAGTTTTTTAACTGTTTCAAGAGATGCGTCAAGATATTGTTGTAATGTGTCTTGAAGCATTTCACCACCTTTCAGCAATGTCTTCTTGGTATCTCCCAGTGTATAAGGACGATCCTGCTCAATTGGTCCGCCAGATACCTCGATTGTCACAAACTCTATGATTCTCCTTGATAATAGCACTTTGTAAGTCATCGTTTTGTCTGGATCTTCAACAAATTGCAATGCCTTTGTCATCATCATATTTTTCTCCACTCTAGATAAATTCGAAAATAAATAAATATAACGAAAAGAAAAAGAAAAATTCCAGTCTATATGAAGATAAGACATACCAGTTAAACATTACCAGATCAAATACATATTCGATATACTTGAATGGAAGAGAAACCTGTTCTAGTAGAAATTTTCTTTCGGATGCATGCCTTCCAATAGTATGATTTTTTGCACGGCGAATTATAGTACAGTGAAACCTCCATAAGTGCATCCTCTATAAATGCACACTCTATGTAAATTCTCTCTAAATGCACAGTAGGCTTTGGTTCCAACTCATAAGAGCTCTTAATATTTTATTCTCTATAAATGTACACCCTCTCTAATTGCACATTCTGCTATTTTTTTATTATGGTCTCAAGGGGAGTGCACTTATGGAGGTATCACTGTATGACTTTGAATGGTTATATCGTGTCAGTATTTCATTTTCAAACGTATTAATAACAGTGATTATATATTTACAAGTCGATTAAGGTGCCCCGAAAGACAATATGCAAGCCATCTTCATAATCATTAGCATTCTTTAATGGCAAGTTCACCTTTTCATCAAACTTGTCTACAGTACTCTACAAAAAATTATCAGCTAAAATTCGTAACTTCAAAGTATAATTGCATTACAATACTTACAGCAAGAACCAAACGTAGCCATGTGACTAGTAATCCTGGCAAGCTGACTAGTTTGATTTAGTCGCACGAATGACGCTTTATTTCCTCGACAATGTCTTCGTGTTGAACTTCAAGATTTGATATAAGCGATTTCAACCCTGGTAATATTGTTGGCGCAAGACTGTAACCAAAGAGAAAAGGCAATTAATGATATTGCATAAGCTGACATGAACTACAGGACGCATACTTTGCCATAGTCTCTTTTGTCAGGAGCGGTTTGTGCGGTGAGTTTACTAAAAATGAGACACATGGGCCTTTCTTTCGTGGCGTTTGTGGCGAGTCATCTTTCTCTTAGATTCACTCTGTTCACTCTTATACTTATTTGAAGTGATGACATCCTCTAACCCCAAGATACCGCGATTTAACATACTCGCATAATTTTGACTCTTCTGTGTTGCCTGTAGTAGTCCATGTAACTTATTTTGCAGTAAAATAAATTCGTATGTAAGCTGTATTATAAAATGACAATAACATTTCTCATGCGTACCTGAAGATCTGTTAACTTCTTCTCTTTTAATTCGACTTCAATGGATGTCCACATTTTGTCTAAAGCTCCTCCTTTTCGACGTGCTCGCTATGTAATTGTTAGTTTAATCATAGGTAAGTACAGATAATAAAGTGCTACAATCAGCCACGATGATCAACAATTCATAAGCAGTTCATCAGCAGAATTCCCGCGTAGTCGCAGTTGCTAATACAATTAAAGTACCCTTATTGCTAAAAGCTAACCGTCCACAGATCATAAATGGTACATCAGCAGAATTCCCGTATATTTGTAGAGAGCCAAACCAACTAATCGTTGATATGGCCACGGCCTAAGAGAACTTCTATCCAGTTTATCCAGTTGCAACATCACATTTGTACAAGGAAAATCTACACTCACCTTAGCTTTTTCCTGAAGTTTTAATGCCTGCCTTATCGTATCAGCATTGGTTGACGTGCTCACAATATCTCGCAAACTCCTGGTGAGTTTGTCTGCAGCCTTCGTGTAATCGAAGTTCTCCAGTCTCTCTTTGTTTTTTTCTAAAAAAAAGGTGGAACCCGACGATATCCCACTCAAGGGTTCTTCATATCAAAGTACTTGTCAGTCAACTGATTATTTTCCTGCAGGTCATGCAAAATAGTTCCTGTGACGAGAAAAGGGTTGTTTTCGCTGTCTTCCATTGGTCCCTCCATTTTAAAGTGAGTAAAAAAAGTTTATTCGAAAAAGTTGTGTAAAAGGATCTTTTTTGTGACTCATTGAATTGTACACGATTATTATACTTTTCTGGAATGATCGACAAAATAATGATCACATGCGCCACAAAAAATTTTCATGATGATGTAAAGATACATCAATGTTCGCATAGGTTTTTCTGCGGGATAAATTTGACGAAGAAAGTCATTACGATCGATTGCCCCAATTTCTTTCTCACTTCATTTTCAAGCTTAAAGACTTGTTTGTCCTTAGAGATTTTGATCTCAAAATTGTATTTTTATTTACTGCATTACGTTAGCGGAAGTTAAGACTGATAATATCATCATCTGCGCTGGAAGACATCTTGTTTTCCTAAATGCAAAGCCTATAGTGAGAAATTAATTCGCTCATGTAAGCATAACTTTTGGCATATACATACCTTATTTTTTGCGGGAAGAGAAAGTTGGCTGAACGTTTACGAACCACTACATATTTTATATATTGCTGAAAAAGGACTGAAGGATAGTAAATATGAGACGTGATTAGAATTGTCGTATGATACCAAGAAAGCCATGAAAGCATATGAATACGGAAGCTTCGCATGGAGATCTACATGAAAGACTCAAAAGTTGGACTAACACTCAAAATTGCAAAGTTCTCAACCCTTCATAACATATGGTTTTGTCGTCATTATTACTTGTAGGGTAGGCCCTTATTGCAACTAGACACTTTTTCACATTTTTCTCATGTTTGGGAAAAAAAAAGACAAGATTAGAGCAGTATACCTCTCATTTGACTTCATCTGCAGATGTAAGTAAGCTAAAATCATTTGCAAAGTTGTCTAAACATTGATCAAGAATAATTGTATAACATTTTCTACTAAGAATAGAGTCAAACATTTTGATTGATCATTATAAAAATTTTCACATTGTAGTTTTAGCGCAGTTTTAATTTGTTAGAATTTATGTTTGTCTTCTTTGAGTTTGATAACAGTCATCTAAACTTTATTCAAATCAGATAGAATTGACTTTGTATAGTTGAGATCTTGCAATAAGAATAAGATGATAGTGAGTCAGAAAAGCTCATATTATATTGTTAAGAAGGCAAGTTTTTGATAAAATATTAACCAATTTTTCAGAACAGTAGATACGTAAAGACCTTTTTTAATTAATCACTGTAATTTTTGAATAAACATAAGCTGTTTGTACATGTTTTTTAATAGACAAGGTCATAAATTTTTAGAGTTATCTAATGAATGTTAGATTGGTATATATTTGTCAGTAGCTTTAATTATACATCCTTAGATAAGGTCCTAGAAGAAATCTAAGGTCTTTTTTAAGTGTAATTTATCAGAGATTAAATTCGATATTTAGCAACTATTTGCAAAAGTATCTACTCTTTTAAAGAAGTTGTTTTAAGATTTATCATCCATAAGGTCATATATAAGATTTTTTTACAATTTGATCTTTAGATTTGATATAGTGCTGGAAGTCTTAACTCAACAATGTTTCAAAATATTTTGTGAATTTTATATTACGTAATTAGTAATTGACCAATGAAAAATGAGATATCATTTTAAAATTACAATAATTCGAGCTGATATTATGATTAATTACCATAATTCTGGCTCAAATTATCATAAATTTCAATTAATAATATATATTTCAAATTCAGAAAAATCATATGAAAATTCTTCAATTTTAAATACCTATAATTTTTTATATAGAATTTATTTTGAAAAAATGACTGGTAATTTAATAGAACTTATCTCAAAGAATAAAGTTACCAGTTTATTTTTTCTAAATTTTATTTTTTTAAAAAGTTGAAAGATTTTTAAGTGTTACATTTATATTGTTGAGTACAAACTTTCTGCATCATAGTTAAATTAATTTCAGCTATGCTTATGTTAGTGAAGACTATTGAGTAATCGAAGATGTGAGTATCAATTGCTGTAGTATTCATAGTATTAATGCTTACTGCTATAAGTGGTAAACAGTAAAATAATTAATCCTAGTAGGTTGATATTTAGCAGAATAGAAGAAGGATGAGAAATATTGGTTAGCATTATCATGAAAAAAATCAAATACATTAAAGAGTTACAATTCGCCTAATTGTAAAAAATAGATTTGCATAAAATATATTACTAGATTGATCTAAAACAGCATTAAAATTATCTATTAAAATAACTTTTATATTGAGACCTATACTTCAGTAATTAGATTTGTGATGTCTTTATATGTTTGCTTATGTAAGTCTGATTTAAACTTAAAATGTAGCAATTTATGAGATGAATCCAAAATTTGTTATAAAATTAAAAATTAATGTAAATAATGTGATTGTATTTTTATTATATTTATAAATATAGTTAATATATTATTTTTATCAAAAGTCTAACACCTGTATCAGACGATTAGGTATTATCAAAATTAAAGAAGGAAATGAAATGAGAAGAAGTCAATTTGTTGAAACTTATAATATCATTATTTGTTTTAAAATTTATCTCTTGAATTCAATAATGTCTGATTTATCAAAATTATATAAATTAATTAATAATTGTTGTTTATGTGGCTAAAGAATGGAAAGAATATTGTATATTGCAATATTGATATAAGACGATAGAGTAGTCAAAAAGTTATTTATAGAATTTTTATAAAAATTAGGATTTTTAGAATTACTTGAGCTTAGAGTTCTGGACGAGTCGAGTTAACTTACGAGTCAGATAAGCCAAGTCGAGTTTAAATCAAGTTGAGTTTATATTTTTTTGACTCGATGATTTGCGAGTCAAATCAA